AACTGTTGATTTAGTTGCGTAGCACTTGCATAAAAACAAGCAAACAACTGTATATTTCTTGGCTTAAGCTATAACTCTATTGTATGTCATGCGTTTTAGGATGTGCCGATTATACTTGTGGTGATAACTCAGACACAACGACATAAAATTTATGGGAGAACGTGGAAACAACCAACAGATTACAGTACTACAATATTTGTCTGCTGTATTATCACTCTGAAATCAAAACGATATTCATGAGTATCTGGAGTAGTAACGCGATGAAATGATCAATTGCAACTGGGTGGTATTATGGGTGGTATAGAACGCTACCGCCAGAGTCAATGCTAACCGCTGGATTAGAGCAAAATTCTCTGTAACTGGTTGGTGATGTACTCCGTTGACCGCTTCCGCCGGGAATTTTTAGTTAACCAGAACAGATGAGGATATCTCGCGCCAGCGGATAAAATACCGTAGTATACGTCACACCGGCAGCCTCACCGCACGTCGTCGTAACCAGATCCAGGCTGATAATTTCCAAAAGAATGCGATTCACTCTGCAAAATATACACTCGTCAGTCGGGACAATCCTTTTGCTACACTATATGTTACTGTACTTGTTTTTTTCTGAGGTGAATTTACTGTACACAAGCAATTTGGTATAGTCAGTCAGCTCTCGTAACAACCAGTGTACAGTACATGGAGAGCCTGGGATTTAAAGTACTGTATCCGCGCGAGTTTAAGGGACAGAAAATTCCCCCGGAGCGCCCGCACTAGATGTCGGCTCCTTTGACATCAAAGAAACCGACGCCTAGCGCGGGCGGTCTGGGGGAATTTTCTGTCCCTTAAACTCGCGCGGGTACAGTACAATCGAGGAAAATTTGGACTTGCATTTACCGGCACTGACAATCAAAACTGTATAGTTCGTGTGGTCCGGCTGCAGCCTGCACGATTAATTTCCTCTCGCAGTGCATCGCGTTTATCAGTAGGGAGGTTGTTCAGTGCCTTTGCGCATTCACTAATCCGGTTTAAATGCTGGTCGAGATCCGGAACACTGCACGTTCGACGGAAATGTCGCTGATACTGATTATGATCCGGGGGTTTCGTAGAACCCAGCTCATTTCCGTTCCCATACCAAGGTGGGAAAAACATGGTCGCGGGAGCTGTTCAATACAGGCGAAAGCGATAGCTGCCGGTCTGAAAAATACACAAATTTATTTTGAATTTAGGCTAAACAAAATTGAGTTTTCAAATTCATGTCAGTTTCTAGTCAGTTTAAGGACAATGGTTCGGTACATGGTGCTAAAAATGGGATACATACACTAAAACATCCGCTTTCGCCGACTCCGAATCGCTTTTTTGTAATGATTTATGTCATTTAAAATCTAAATGATTTGTATATATCGTTCTGAAAATTGTTTTCGCGCACAACCTCCGGTTGCCGAAATATGGCGAACTAAAATTGGGGAAAAGTTTAAATGCTCTGGGAGTACCGAAAGTGTGGTTGTTGCCAGATCTACTTGAAACTTTGCTGTCAAAGACACATGGCTATAAAGGCTAAAGAGAGCCAATATCAGATTCATAGCATTTTTTCCGATTTCAAAATAATTTCAAAAACTTTAAAATTAATTTTAAAATTGGAAAAAATGCTGTGAATCTGCTAATTATTGGTCCACAATCTCCACATTCGACTTTGTGGCCGTGTATCTTATGCAAGCAACGTTTCAAGAAGGTCGGGTAATAACCAGAGTTACCAGACGTTTGGTACACAGCTAAAACCAGGGCGCTATCCACTGGAAACCGAGATACGGCTGAAAAACAAAGTATTCAGTTCATTTAGCTTTTCAGAACAAAGTATGCAGTTCATTTAGCTTTTGAATGACAACTCGCTCTCAACTCGGAGAGAATGTCCAAGTTAGGACATTAGTGGTTCACTGGTTTTGAACCTATAGAACCGCACAGAACCACCCGTGAACCGCGTACAATGTCACTTGCCGCCACGCTGCCGCACTACCGCTCTCTTGCCGAGACACGGTGAACCTATAGAACCACACAGAACCACCATAGAACCACTACAGAACCACCAATGAACCGCGTACAATGTCACTTGCCGCCACGCTGCCGCACTACCGCTCTCTTGCCGAGACACGGTGAACCTATAGAACCACACAGAACCACCATAGAACCACTACAGAACCACCAATGAACCGCGTACAATGTCACTTGCCGCCACGCTGCCGCACTACCGCTCTCTTGCCGAGACACGGTGAACCTATAGAACCACACAGAACCACTATAGAACCACCAGTGAACCGCGTACAATGTCACTTGCCGCCACGCTGCCGCACTACCGCTCTGTTGCCGAGACACTGTGAACCTATAGAACCACACAGAACCACCATAGAACCACTATAGAACCACCAGTGAACCGCGTACAATGTCACTTGCCGCCACGCTGCCGCAATGACACGCTTCTGCCGAGATACAGTTAATCTGCAGAACTGCTATAGAACCACACTTACACACCCGTAGATATCCTCTCAACTGCCAAAGTCTACCTATCTGTCAGTGCGGATGTTGCAAATGCACTGGATACTCTGTTCCGTAAATCTACTCCCCACACTGTGCTACAAGCCCGTACCTTGTTACACTCCAACAACCGGGCAAATGAAAATCTTCGAATTATGCGATTTGAACCTTATTCTAGCATTTAAAGTAGTTCAAAAACTTGCTCAGGATTCGTTTAATTGCTCTGTGGACACGAGAAGCAAAATCGTAAGACACATGAACTTTTTTGGGAACTCGGTTGATAACGCGAATTTAATCGGCTGCGAATTACGATCCTAATTCTATCCCAAAAATAGTTTCAGCCAATCAGAACAGTTTCAGTTTTTCTTGAGGAAAGCTCGCCTTCAAAAGTAACAGATTTGAGCCAATGAAAAAAACAAAACTTAAGGCGGTTAACATGATGCACTCCGCTGTCGCTACATAATTTGCTAGTTTAAAACTAGCAAAACGAGCAGCAGAAACTTCCGGATCAATCCAGTGGCATCTGGCTGTCGAGACCGTACGAACATAGCTTCGCTAAATACTTATTGCGTCGCTTAATTATCCGGTGCAAGAAAAACAACTGGCGATATTTGGGCATCTTGAGCAACGCGAACCTATAGCGTCCTAGCCATGCATTCGTTTGCTCACAAGCTTGCGTATTCGCTGATTTCAGATTGGGATGAGCTTCCATTATGCGGGCTGGGTTGTAAACAGTGTGACATTCATGGCCGACATGGTTGTCCAAGTGGAACTTATCAATGACCTTTCCCACGGCGCTCCACATGGTATCGTATGGCTTCGGTAGTTGAAGAGGCAGTTTAGTGGCTTTTAAAGAGTCCAGTTTGCACATATTATCGTATGCAATGAATATCGACCCCCACTCTTCTGGCGGATAAGATTTCAGAGTTTGGTACAGCCAGGCCACGACTATCAGAAAAACCTGAGACACGGATTCAGCCCTGAAACGTAATCCTTATTACATTTGTCAAACAGTAGAATTGTACTAATGTTTCTATGAATTCTACTAAGAGTTTCTTGGTGCGTCAATCTGAAAGCTTTTAAGAATTTTTCTTACTTATACAAAGGAGAAAATCCATCAATATGTCCGCAAGCTCGTACAATGAACAGGTATCCTCGAGACCGTTGTGGATGAATTTGCGAACTACCGCTATTTTTATAACAGGGCGAAAGAAAGGCATCACTTTCAATGGCTTCCACCTCCATATTGGCAACTGTGCCGATTAAAGAGTTTCCTTCAGCTTCTGCGTTACTATCTTTATTTTCCGGCAATGTAATTGAATTTCCTTGCGCGCTGTGTAAGAGCGGCGAAATTCCTGGAATTTTAGGCCAATAAGAAAGCGGCTTCAGAAAAAAACCCACAAATAGCTCTGAATAAACTACAAGTGCCAAAATACACTAAAAAATTCAACAAGACAACGTAGGGTAACGCCGTGTTCATACGATCCTGAATGCAAAACGTTTATTGGCAACCTTACCTTGCAGGTGCAACGCAGCAGAGTCCAAAGAACGGCGAGTAAGTTGTTTACGTTTACTGGGAATTTTCATGCATTTTGCAATTTCGACGTGATCACAGCAGAACAGTTCTCCTTTCTCTTGCAATGGTTCTGTGAGCGGGGGTTCACTAGCGTTCACGTCCGCAACGCTACGCTACGTGTTGTGTCTCGCCTCTGATTGACTTACGTTTTGTTAGTGGGCGCGGCATAGCACGTGCTGCACAGTAATACATACTGTTGAACGGGCTCCACGCTTTACGATCGAGCTGCGCCGATCATTATTGATTTTCTGTTGTCGGGATTTTCAATTTATTAAAAAGTCAGCAATTAGCGGTGCGACGTTTCGTGATTTCGCGTAGTTCGCAATCCAGATCGCATTGCTCACTTCCACGGGATCTATTCCGTTTAGGTCTCCGTATCTGGATCACAGTTGGATCTAGCATTAGATGGTAGCAGAGCCGACAGCGGTTCTCTGAATTTGATTTGATTTGTGTCAGGCAAAGTTGGCCTGTTATCTGATGTGAAACCCGACCAGTAAGGCACAGGTCTGTACCACAGCAAAGCGCAACACCACAAGCGGTGCAAGTTCCTCATCTGACGTGGATTTCCAGCCTTGTTTTCGGTGCAGCGTCTTCAGCGAAGACCTGTACTGTTGCAGGGACTGTGCAAGAGTTCAAGAGAGCAGTCGCCAGTGTTACTCGGTGTAGAGTCTTCAGCGAAGACCTACACTGGTGTCACTGGTACTCGGCAAGGATTCAGCGAATCCTAAGCCGTGGGGCAGAAGCGCCGAAACGCCGAAAGGGGCGTACGGAAAAGACAGATCAGACTCCACCAAACTGGTGTAGAGCGTACCACTACTGTTGCTACGGCAGTCAGCCGGCACAGTAGCATTTGAAAAGCGGGCGGCACAACCGCTACGGAAAAACGGCAGCGCGGGAACGGACGGTGGAGAGGAATTGGATCATCTGGATCACTTTCCCGTGGAACGGACGGTTAACAGGTAGAAAAACTGTTATTAATTACGGGATTGGCTAGTTGGTAAAATTGACAATTTTTATTGGTCCGTACTGAGCTGAGCGTAGAAGTAGGCGGAGTTTTGCACGCGGCGTGCATGTCTGGCCGTTGACCGTGACGTCAGGCAGATCTAAAATTTAAGTGGACTAACGTGATTGGTCAGTTATCTGAGCTGTGATTGGCCGAAATTTGAACTGAATATTTTGAGCTAGCGGACCAATCAGAACGAAGTAAACAACCCGAATGGGGATTTTCCGCTAAACTCTAGCTGTAATGGGAAATTTGATTTGAGATAAGATAATTGAGACGAAAAGTGACCTTTTGAGTTGAGACAAAGGAAAAGTGACCTTTGATCGAATTGAGCTTAAAAGTGACCTTTAACTTGAATTGAACGGGAAAGTGACCTTTTAACAGAAATTGAGTTGGAAAGTAACCTTTTGAGTTGAATCGAGTCGGAAAGGGACCTTTGAGATCAGAACGTGACCGCTGACTTTGAAAAGTGACCCTTACTGAAAAGTTGGAATTGACCAAATTGACCTATTTAAGTGACCTTTATGATCTGAAACTGACGAACGGTGACCTTTATCGAAGTTAAATTGAACTGGATAGTGGTACAGCGATATCAGCAGCTGTAGGATTTCATTCGCTAACGTGTTTCGAACTGTAAAAGCTGTTTCGAAGTTTTGTCCGAAAAGTGACCTTTTAGGGCAAATCTCTCGAACTTTTTATCGAAAAAGTGACCTTTACACGGGACTTAGTCGAAACTTTTCAGTCGAAGAGTGACCTTTAATAAGGACTTAGAAAAATTTCGGAGGTACAGAATGACCTTTAGGAAAATTGAATAAACCATACAATAACGTGTGTGTGAGAACAATTGGCAGGAGCGTCCAAGTTATCCGATCAACATGGACAAAGACCAAGAGGAACCGACATCCAACAGCAGTCAGGGAAGCAAAAGCTCCCGCAGCTCACAGCAAAGCGCACCAAACCCGTACAAAAAGGATCTGTACCCGTACTCACGTCCAGTTGGACATGAGCGGAACACTCGAGCGCCCAAGGCATTCGAGAAGAAGGATTCACGAGGCTCTGATAGCACTTATCAGAAGGCGCTCGAGGCGGTCGCCAATCAGGAAAGTTCCAGCGACGACCAGAAGCACACTCCCGCGTCTACGGCGGGAAGTGATCCGATGAACCAGACAAAGGTCACCGGGGAGGATAAGTCCACAGGAAGAATAGCGGAACTAGTTGGAGCATCACAGTTGGATGCTACCACTAGCGGAATGCATGAGCAGAATAAAAATGCGAACCTGACTCAAATGGAAGTTGAAACGACAAAGGTCACCAAAATGGAACTGGTTGGAATGGGATTGGATGACCTTTCATTGAACGATAAGACTGTAGACGATGACCTTTGGGCCACTCCAATGGTGTCAGATGAGTCAAATGAATCATACTTCACGGACGATGAAATGACGATGAATATGTCCTTCCAATCTGCAATGAGACAAGCTGACCGCGCTGAAGGGATGACACCTTTCAAAGACATACCAGAGCACCTCATTGAACGGACACAAACTGGAAAGGTCATCAATGTACGACCGCCGTCACCGAACAGCCCCACGTTAACTTTGAGAAGACGTGTCAGCGAATTGGAAAATGAACTGGAAGTTAACGAACGACAAGCGGACAAGCGGAAACGAGAATACCGAGAAAGACTGACGGCACTTGAGAACCGCCTGTTTGATCTGGAACAGCAACAGGGTGACCTTCAAAGTGCCGCAGACGGTTGGAAAGTGAAATATGAAAGACAAAAGGAATTGGCCGACGAATATTTGAAAATGGCAGATGACAGAGAAATGGAAGGTCATCTTGCAGTCAGTGACCTCAACGAGAGCATGTCAGAAGAATCAGCCGAAAGGTCACGGCACTTAGTGGAATTGAAGGACGAATGCGACTCACTGAAACTAAAGGTCACCGAAGCTGAAACGAAAAGAGATGAATACGCAACCAAACTCGCCGAGGCCACCCAGCGATTGCTGACGAACACCACCGAAGTGTTTAAGCTCAGGAATGACCTGAAGCTGCGTGATAAGAATATTGGGATCCTCCACAAGGAATCATATGATCACCAGAGAAGGGCCGATGAAGCCGCCAGGGTGACCAAGGAACATCAAGAAGAGAACCAGGCGTTGAAAGAAGATAACCGAAAGGTTACCGCAGAGATCAACGAGTTAAAAGGAACCGCTAAGACAATCGCCGAACAGGGCATGAGGTGGGAGCATGAAGCACACCTCTTGGACATAAAGGTCACGGCGCTTGAGTTGAAGGACAAAGAGTGGCAACAAATTGTTCACCAGAAAACACAGGAGATTATCAGACTCAACACAGAGTTGATCGATATGACCCAAACGGCGATGACAAGAGAAGATGAGGTCACCCAGTCGAAAAATCAACTGAAAGCAGCAGCCGAGGAATACATAAAGTTGGAAAGGGATGTGACCCAGTTGGCGGAACACATTAAAAGGTTGGAGAATGACACTGAAAAGGTCATTCAGGAAAAGACTTTCCAACTCCACCAACATATGTTAAAGGTCAAGGAGGAGAATCAGAACTTGAAAACGGAGAAAGAGGAAGTCCAGTTGAAAGTCCGTCGCCTTGAGGATGAAAATAAGGCTCTCAATATATCCAACAAGCACAAAGACGAGCAGCTTCTGCAATATGGCGGTAGAACAGCAACAGTGGAATCACCGCCGCCCAGTTACAGCAAGGCGCATGAAATGGGCACGGGCAAAAGCTTCCACTTCGACATGCCGCTACGAACTGGTACCGGCAGAGGAAGTGTCAAAAACGAAAAGGACGGGGAAAAGGCCAAAGATGACAAAGAGCCACCATCGGAAAGTTATTCGCTTACGAATCGAGGTGACCCTTCTCAGTTTCCCCAGCATATCGAAACTAATGTCTTCATCAAAGAAGGACAGCGGGATAGACCACCGAGCCGTCAAGAACGCCCGAGGAAGTCCCGCTACGCAAAGGCGAAGCAAAACCGGGAAGAAGAAGACAGTGATTCTAGTGCAGCAGATCAAGATCCGACACAGAAATTGGTAAATGCACTCAATTCGATGGCACGGAAAACGACATTGGTGACCTTTGACGGAAGTCGTGACGCAGTGAATGGTTGGACACAACTGGTTAGAGATACCCAACGAACGTATCACCTCACCGACGACCAGATCTTAATTGAGATAGCCAGCGCGGTGAAAGGACCAGCGAAAACCTGGTTCGAAGGAGAGAGAGAGATCGCACTCCAGGAGGAAACAGAATATACAATTACGGAATGGCTGGCCAAATTCAAAGATGAATATGGAGATCGTGATGAAGAAGTCCTTGGATTACGAGAAGCCATGGCAAGAAAATTTGACCTTGGAAAAGAATCTCTTGATCAGTTTTATCAAGCGATCATGAAATACAAAGCGAAACGGATTATAACTGAAAAGCAGGCAGTCAATTTCCTGATCGAAGGATGCAGAGTGGATGGTGACCTTTATAAAGCACTGCGCACGCAACAGTGCAGGACTCCAACCGAAATCAAAGATTTCTTCCGTCACTGGTCAGCGGGAGAAGATAAATATAAAGCGCCTAAAGGTCAACGTAATCAGGAATACGTGACCATCCGCCAAGGTCAAGTCGAAAACGTACCACAACAGAGGATGGCAGCTGCACCAGTCCAGCAGCCGGTTGAATACCGCAGGGAGGCCCCGGCGCAAGAGGTCACCAAAGAAGTGACCTTTATCGACAGCCAGACGGGACAGCCACTCACGTACGCCATGGTAGCTGCAATACAGGCGGCGGCTCAAGTGAAACCGACACCTCAGAATGTGGCTCCACCAGCTCCACAGAACGTGGCCCCAATGAACGTTGGAATACCACAACAAGGAGCGGGGAACGGAAATTTTGGTGGAAATGGATACGGATATGGAAATGCAAACTGGAACGGAGGACAAGGAAATTTCCAGAATCAAGGTCAAGGTCAAGGCAACTTTCAGCCAAACAGAGGAAACCAGAACAATAACCAGCAAAATCAAGGGTCACGAACCGAATTCAAGTTCCAGATGATCGATGGATGGGTGGCGAACAACGTGCAGATGTGTCAGTACTGTATGTACGGCAACCACCAGACCCAGGGATGCAAATTCGCTAACACACCACCAGAACAGAACCCGAACCTGTTCGCCTTCAACGAGTGGCAACGACTGCGCGGGCTTGGTGGTTGGCGCCTAGCGGTAAATAAGTAAATAACGGATATGACCTCATCACCCAATGGTATCAGCACAAAGCAAACTTCCAAAACCAACAAGGGAATGGAAACGGGAACTATGGAAATGGAAATGGCGGTGGCCAGAACGGTGGCTACGGCCGTGGTGGCTTCGGCCGCGGCGGCTTCAGAGGAAGAAACAGAGGCTTCGGCCGCGGAAACTTCAGAGGAGGCCAGAACAATGGCGGCGGCCAAGGAAACTACCAACAGGGTGGTGGCCAGCCAAACGGAGGTGGCCCGGTGAACGAGCAAGCGCAAGGGAATGTGCAGGGCGCGCAACAAGGAGGGGCGCCGGTTCAGGGAAACGGGCAAGATCAGTAGGCACCGGTGAGCCTACTGATCGACCCGACCCTAAACCACCGGATAAAAGGGAAAGGTCACCACTGCAGAATGGTACTGCAGTGAATGTGACCACTGCAACGGCTATATGGATGCCGTCAGCGCAAAAGGAAACGGCTAGATGGATGCCGCCACAGCAAAGAGAAACGGCTATATGGATGCCGTCATCGCAAAAAGGATATGGAACGGTTATAGGAATACCGTCACAAAGTGAAAGGTCACCGCAGAATGGTACTGCGAGTGGAAACGTTCAAGTGGACAAATGGTCACCGCAGAATGGTACTGCGAGTGGAAACGCGCAACGGGACCAAAGGTCACCGCAGAATGGTACTGCG